GAGCTGTTACTGATGAGCTGTTTGGATTTCTGAAGAATTTTCTGGACGAATTGGTCCTCAATGCCTTCTTGTCAAACGTTCCTGTCGTAATCTTACTACAACGAAGTGCGACCCATGGTCTATTCTATGTAATTTAGATTGAACTAACTTATAGAACGATGTTCATATTTTCTGGACATCTCCTTCCTCTTATGATGAGTGCTGTAAACTGCTGCATTCACAAAAAAGGAGTAGCTCAAAATTCTTCTGCTTTTTGAGCGTCGAGTGTAAATTGGGGAAGGAAGTAATATAACATTAGCATTTTGTTAGATCGCATGAGTGATTTTTCCTTTCCCACAACCGTTACCTCGTAATTAGTTGCTAATGTGACACGGTCTTGGTCAAGTTAGCAGTGACAAATCGCTTCCCTTAACGACTTCGCCGTTGTTTCCCATTACCATTTTACGATCTTCTCCCCCTCCCGCTATCGCTTTTCTTCCTGACCACTTTTTTGGACTATGTTTGTCAATCTGTTTTTGCATTCGTATGGGAAATAACTAGACGTCGTTTTTTGGATGACATTTTTTCTCTGGTCCTTGACTGCCGTGCGATATGCATTTTTATCTCAGTGAAAATTGGATTATCTTTCTTTTCAATTTTCTAACATTGTGATTATTTTCATGCCTTTATAATACCAGTGTTACCACGGTTACGGTTTTTATGAATCCTCGTTCTCTCTGTAGCTACCGATATATTCTTCATACTCGGCCGTGTCAACGCTTGAGTTTCATTATGTTTGCAGCGATTCTTATGAATTTCAAGTTAGTCCAGGAATTTGTTTATATCGTTTGGTGCATGTGAATTGCGCCTATACTGGTCAGTTCTGAGTAAAATTTACTAATAATAACACTTCGAAGTCAATATAAAACATAGATTCTTTGTCAGTACTCTCGAAGTCTGGGAGCTTCTATCATTCTCAAAAAAGCTGTATGAAAAAATGAACAAATTCTAATCTGTTGTTCTGCACCTGTCATAAGTGTGTCCACTTCACCTGCAGGAGATCTTTTCTGAGACTGAAAGAGCTTTTTTTTATAACCGATAAATTCTTTTTTTTTTCAAAATTAAGTCATGCTTAGCGAATGGAACCAGTCAGAAACCTGGAAATCCTGCAAATGCACACATGCTTAGGAGCTCATAGATCTTTTCTGTAGCTGCTTTGCCTCTTAGCCGAGTTGCGTTAATGTGAAAAGTCACTTGATGGCTTTGATTACGAACTACAAAACTTTGGTACACCCCAATAGACTTTCCTGTTTTTGGAGGAGTTAAGAGCTATTGTTGAGCTATTAAGCATAGAATCTTATCGGAGTAGTTCCAGGAAGCTTTCTGTTTTTCAGGACTGCGGATTTTGGTGTCTTCATGGAAATTCCTTTGATTAAGGTTATCTGAACCACTCCCAGCACTGATTTATGTAGGGTTATTGAGTGCAAAAAGAAACTATGAAAACGGTCACTGTGGCTTTCGATATAGAAAAGTGATGCCAACGTCTATCATATCCTGAAGAAAAGTTTTGGAATTAGTCCCTCTCAGTGCCATTAGTCGAAGATGTTTTCATCACTCTTTTAGAAGATATCTGACATCTTTCGGAAAACTCAAGAATATCCTGATGCTCTAGTACAGTTTCAGAAGTATTTTAGCTAGAAATTTCTCCATAAGACATCTCAGTGCTACTTTCGAACTCTTGCGCTCTGCTTTCCTACGTTTCTTTCATATCTTTTCAGCATTCGATTAGCTATTAGGTTGTCAAGAACATAATGTCGGTTTTTATTTGCTTGCTTTAACAAAGCAACCAGACTCAACCCAACAAAGGGTAGGGGGAACTGTTCGATAGAGCAAAGCAATCTCTACAAGATGGCACTCATGTCTTTGCGCCATGCTCGATCCACTGAGAGTTCCAACTCAAAATCTAAAGATTTCCAAATGCCCAAAAAATCGAAAAAAATCAGATCTTCGTCCAAATAATATCTACGGACCTCCCACTCGCTCACATCAATACTATCGATATCTGATACCCATATGTGCGATTGCCGTATTTTTTCCTTGACTAGAAACTGAAAAAACGGAAATTTCCCCGATTTTCTCAAAGCAATGCTGAGCCGTTTTTACATATGTAGTTTTATACTACAAGCCTAGATAAGTATAACTGTAAGTTTTCAGCCTATTTCGAGCGGTACTTTTCGAGAAATGTCGATTTTAGCACTGAAACTGAAACGAAGAAATCCGATCGTTATTTTTTGAAAACTACCGCTTGGAATGGGCTGAAAATCTACAGTTATACTTACCTAGGCTTATAGTATAGAACTACATATGCAAAAACGGCTCAGCATTGCTTTGAGAAAATCAGGGAAATTTTCGTTTTTTCAGTTTCTAGTTAAGGAAAAAATACCGCAATCGCACATATGGATATCGGAAATCGATAGTATTGATGTGAGCGAGTGGGAGGTCCGTAGAAATTATTTGGACGAAGATCTGATTTTTTTCGATTTTTTGGGCATTTGGAAATCTTTAGATTTTGAGTTGGAACTCTTCGTGGATCGAGCATGGCGCAAAGACTTGAGTGCCATCTTGTAGAGCTTGCTTTTCTCTATCGAACAGTACCCCTTACCCTTTGTTGGGTTGAGTCTGGTTGCTTTGTTAAAGCAAGCAAATAAAAACCGACATTATTTTCTTGACAACCTAGTATCTTTTTTCCACATATCAACAGTACTTTTCATCCGCATTACGTTACCATACATAGCAACTAGCTTCTCTCATAACGTAGTGACATCCGTACTCTACTAATTTGTTTTCTTCCCACCTGAACTCGTTATGTAGTCAATGAATGTGTTAGAGTCAATTGTTCTATTGTTATTCTATGCTATAAGATACCGTGTGATGAGACTAGTTTCTACTATTTGCTTTGAGTTGCCTATTCTTTTTTTCGAAAGCAGTTGAAACACTTTAGTTTAAGAAGAAGATGACTTACTTCTTGCAGAAATTGTCTTTTGTGGAACTATTCGAAGTTGAAACAGAGAAAACTGAATGAACATTCGTGAAAACTGGCTTTGATTTCTCTCTGCTGGATATTCTTGTTCCCGGCAAAATGTCCAGATGTCAAGGTATCGGGCGATGGCCTTGCTCTCAGTCGATGGCGCATTTTTTTGTCCCTCTGAATTTATAGACTTTCTGCGTAGGACTCCAATTTTACTGCAAAGCGGAAAACTCATCCAGCTGTTCTGTTCATCCCCGTTGCTTTTGGAAAATAGTCAAGACTTCGAGGAATTTGCGCTCATTTCTTTGATTAGATGTGCCACATTCTAAAATCAGAGAGCCTATTCTAAGTTTTGATTTTTTACTTTTTATTGGTGCTGATTGCTGGAGCTGGCTGATCATAAAACTTAGATTTTTTATCTGTGTTAAATAGAAAGGGCAAAATGATACATTTAAAGACGTTTCACCTTGCCGGCTTTGTTTACTTAGATGTGCACGACTTTTTATAGCTTCCAGCATTTGAGTTTACACAGCACGTTTTACTACTTTGACTTTCCGTGCGTTTTGCCCAGTTTCGCTTGTGTCATGCAGAGTTTTGAACCAGGTGCGATGCCCGCGAAAAATGTTCCTACTTCATTGTTCCTATGGTCATGCTTTTCATAGATCTTCCTGGTACCACCGCAATCCCACGGTAACAGCGCGCGCGATAGATGCAATGCTCTTTCCCGCCATACTTAACATGATTCTTTGAACTGCAAACTCAACTAGTTTCTTACAGCAGAGTCTAAAATGACTTCAAAGTCGAGTTTAATTAGTTGGGCTTGCAGTCGAACGAATCGCGTTGAGTATAGCCAGAAAGAGCATTGCTGTCCACCGCGCGCATTCTTACTGTAGGACTACGGTAGTATGCCAAGCGTTTTTTTGACGAATTTGACGGTTTCTATATCTGTGGGATAGGGTCTAGAAGCATGTAACATAGGTGGAATTAGCAGTATACAAAGCTTTCAGTGTAATCACCCGCTGTAAGAAGTGAAATTTGAACCTCGAGTCAGGACACAAAGGTGAAGAAGGGCTTTTCAATCAAATGTATTACAAATTGTAGTCGACTTGGGGTAGTTGGATTTATAATGGATTTGGCTTCACTGAGGACCCCTTGGGGCCAAGAAGCTCGGAAGTTGGAGGGCTTTTCTCTCATTATCTGCAGAATTGGACATGAATCAGTGTTTTGAGGCTGTCAAATTTTTCTCGTCTGTGGAATGTCAAATTCTGAGCACTGTGGTCAACGCGAAATTCTTGAAACGCTCTGAAATTTGAATTCTTTAATCTAGCATGTGAATCTTTCATTTAGCTATTTTATCTTATGATTTGTAAATTTTTATACTAAAGCACGAAGCACTTATTCACTCAGTCCCCACTCTTCGGCCTCATATACCTACTATTTTTCTAAATCTAAAAATAAGAAGGTAAGAAACCTTTGGAAAATCTTTAGAAATTATTCAGAATTATGTTTTGGTGCAAAAGAATACGGGTCTTTTATTCCTCCCCCTCCCCGGACAGAAATCCTGAGACCGCTATTGAAATGTACATATATTTTTATTGAAAGTAATTCAAAAGGCATAGAGTTTGTAAATTAGGCATAGCAAGGTTTAAAGGAAACTTACAAGCTTTTCCTTGCCCTACTGATTCTTTTACTTTCATATTCCGCAAGTTTTTATTTTTGAATTGGGAGATTTTCGTAAGATTTGTCTATTTTTCGTGTTTGTTAGAAATGTGGTTTCTCAGCTTTAATTCAGTTATGCTTGAATAGGTATGTCTACGCATAGATTTCACTTGCAATAAAGTAAATGATATTTTCGAAATAAAATCACTTTCAAGAATTGCTTTTGAATTTTTTTTTTTGTGATCAACCTACTGGACTCAAAATCACTTTGAGTTCTATTCTTCGTTTACTCATGGATGATCGCGCATATCGTCGCCTGATAATTTGAAATATTTCTTACAGATGAGGATTTCTCTCTTAAGGAGAAACTGTGAAGTCATCAAGTTCTGATAGTTGCTGTTCTACTGTACAGGACTGTAAATCTACGCCATATTCTAATTTCTGTTCTAAATTAGAACAACAGGGCAAACATGGTGTTGGGAGCTGTACTGTCTATGCTACGCTATGTAGCCGGTAGCGAAGACAGAGATTTTGTTGATCGGCTACATTCATACTTCACTTGTAATATTCTGATTGGTCTTTCTGTTTTGGTTAGCTTTAAGGTAAGTCTAAAGACTTTAAATTTTTTGGAAAGTAGAAAAACGCTTTTTTTGCAGCAATTCGGAGGGAAACCGATCGAATGTTTAGTGCCAGATATGTTTAGTAGTTCATGGGAACAGGTATGTGCGGTTTTGGACGCGTCCAGAGTTGCCCGTACCAGCTCCGTTCCAAACCATGCTAGCGTCTTGCCAGAAATCGATTAATCGATACGCAGCCCATCCACACACACCCTGGCACGGCGCTGGCAGGCCGGCACGCGCGGGCAACTCGCATGCAGCTTTGGAGCCATTGTCGGACAAACAGTGGGTACTACTTTAGTATGCTGAGAACTACTGCTGGGCACAAGACACTTATTATGTTCCCATGGGTGAAGCTGTAGCTGGGCTAGCTGATGCTGAACGTCGGGAGCGAAAGATCAGCTACTACCAGGTAGGTCAATTATTCTTCTTCATTGTGCCATCAATGTATATCTATGTCTTCTTGAAAGGAACGAAGTGGATAGCATTATAAATGTGAATTTCAGTGGGTGCCATTCTTCTTACTTTTGGAAGCTGCTTGTTTTCGATTGCCTAGCCTTTTTTGGCAGTACCTCGCTGGATATTCTGGTGAGTAAATTTTTTTTTGTATATTATAAGCCATAGTTCGCCCTTAAAATATTTTCCAAAACGTCGCAAATTTGTTTTTCGACTCAGTTTTGACTCGCATAGATATACAACAGTGGCAAACCGAGGAAGGCGATTTTGTAAGTTTGAAAATGATTTGCATGGACTGAGAAATGCGCAAGTGACTTGCTTTCTTGTGAAGAATTTGAATAATAATTCTATGTATTGACCTTGTAAAGGGTTTTTTGAGCTCCGCGTTTAGCATATATAGTACGAATCTCGTCTGATAGGGAGTATGAAGTCAAATTGATATTTCATTTTTCTGACGCTCTAGTCATGAAAGGCTTTCAATTTTTGCACAATCAAAAAATAAGAGAAGGAGATAGTATGGCTATGCTTGGCAATGCTGCTCGTAGACGTGCTGCAGTAATGCCTGACAAATTATATGTTTTAGGCATCAAGATTCATGAAGTCATAAAATTGTCTTCGGATCCAAATAACATCAAGCCGGATATCAAGCGAGCCAACATAAAGTCGCTTACAGTTCACTTGCAGGTGAGTTTCAGTGCTACAACGAAGAGTAAAAGCTATTAGAACTAGCAAATTCTAGCTTTGATATCACTGTTTCCATCGAACTGATTTCAACGAAATTTTACGGTTTTCAGGGTGCACTGCGCTTCCATCGACGACTACAGAAGAAGCAAGTCCGCCCACATCGCTTTCTTTGGATGTTCAATTTGGCTTACTCAGCGTTTTTTGTCACTTCTGTTTATCTTTTCACAAAATTCTTCTACCTAGCCAATGTATGCCTTCAACTGTTGCTCATGAACAAGTAAGGAAATCTGGTCCCATCTATCCTTTATCATTTGCTCCTGTAATTTCCAGATTTCTCGAAACGGATAGGTACGCTTGGTATGGATTTGGTGCCATGATTGATCTCTTGAATGGTACCACATGGGAACAATCCGGCGTCTTCCCAAGAGTTTCCCTTTGTGATTTTGATGTAGGTTACCCAATGTATACTGTAGAGTTACCGTACTCTTTGCTTTATTAGGTACGTGTCATGGGAAATGTACAAGAACATACTGTACAGTGCGTACTTGTCATCAACATTTTCAATGAGAAGATCTTTATTTTCTTGTGGTTCTGGTTAGTGAACCGCTTCTTTTGAAAGAAGCAATATATCCGAAAAAAGCTAATTCTAGGTACCTGATGCTGTTGATATTTACTTTGGGATCGTTCCTCTATTGGTTGTTTGTAGCAATTATACCGTACCCCAATCGTCGATTTATCAAAAGGCACTTGGAAATTAGTGAAATGCCATTTGACCCGCTTGGTAAGTTTTGTCGGGAGTCCATCTTGTTCTACATTTTTCTCCTTTTTTGGGAAGGAGAAATGGAAGAAAAAGGGTTTATTATTTTAGAAAGCGACAAAGACGTGCGACGCTTTATTGACAGCTATCTCAAAACTGATGGTGTTTTTGTAATAAGAATGCTCACTTTACAGTCTGGGGTAAGTCTCATAATATTATCAACATCGCTGAGAATGCGTTCAAATCGATTTTTTTGCAATGTTCAGAAAAAGGAAGGATTGACTATACATAGAGTGATTACTGGAAATGATCAGATTTTGTACATAGTTTTTTTGGACAGTTTATTGTAGCTCTGTAACATCATTATCGAAAATTAGTATTATATTTGTTACCTGCTGTTACGAAAAAGGAGTCAGACATTTATGGCTTCTAGTTTTGTATGGAGGGAGGGGGGCAAAGATTCCTTCGCCATCCTCTTTTTGCTTTCTCTTTTTCCTCTTCTCTTTAAGATAATTCTTTGCGCACTACTAAATCAGCAGCGGACCCAAGAATGGATCGCGAAAAATCTCAGTGTTCAGCATGAGCAGTAAAGTTGCGCTGTGACTGTATTTCATCTCCAAATATTCAAAATTCCTAGATCTTGTCAGAATTTTAAATCAGCTTTTTTTTCTGGCTTGGCGGAGTCTCATCTCTTAGGAGATGATCTGCAGAAAATTTGGAAAGTCTCCCAGAAATTTTTGCAGTAGGCAGCTTTTCTCCATTTGGAAAAGTGCCCATCTTTTTCGTAATGAATCAGCACTGATGCCAATCAGTCTACTCATACCATCTCTTTGAAAAAAATTAAAATTTTTTTACAGACTTAACATCTCGCTCTAGGTAATCTTTGGCACAGACCTTGTCCTGGCTCTTTGGAAATCCTTCTTCGGTATAGAAGAGCAGCTCAAGCGAAGTAATTCTATGCCAGACGTTCAGAAAGCAGCTGATGATGAGCCAAGGTTTTGGCCTCCGCCTCCAGGTATATTTCCATACTTTTTTCTAGCTACAAAAATCGCAATTCTTTTTTCTAGCACCATTGGAAGATAATGAGCTTCGATTCCGTAGGGCATTGGGGCAAAATATTGATAACACGATGGTGTCGCAGGATTTCTTGCATAAGCTAATAAGACCATATCCGCAAGAGAGGCCGTAAGTCATTTGATTTACGTAATTTCGCGTTACTATTACGGTAAAATTGCTTCAGTGCGCCACGGTATGTAGCCGCTGTATCCGCTCCATTAGCAGAAAATGAAGCAAATGAAGCGTTGATAAGAAGTGTGGACTCGAGCCCGGTGAAGGTACAAACCCAGCCAGGAACCCCGTCCAAAACTGCCGCTGTGATTAATCGGTAACCTTCAATCTACCCTTGTGTAATGCTCTTGACTTTTATCAACCGCGAATTTTGCAGAAGAGCACAATTCGACCGGTGATTACCCCCTCCCCCCAAACCTCTTCAAATCCCACAGCCTTAGTCAAGTGCTTTAAGACGTAATGTTTTCGCGTCGCAGTGCAATCTTTCTTCTTCCGTGTATTGCACGAGTTTTTCTTTTCACTATCATTGTTATTGGGTTTTCTGTTACACTAAATCATGTTAGATCATTGAATGCGTGTATGATCTCTGCATAATTCTGTACTGAGCTATATTACGAAGACTTTAATCATTTTGTTGTGTTTCCAAAGTTTTCTCGATGTGTTACTAAGAAAATGAAGAATTTCTCGTATTTTTCTTTGATGTCTAGACATATGCAACTTCCAAATCTTTCTGATTCTTACTGACAAACCCTCTAAGAATATGAGTGCGATGCCTGAGATTCAGTGCAAAAACCGACTAATTAAACACTCTAAGGACTCAGCCAAGTGAAGTATTCAGCCGGTTCACGAATAACAAATCCCACAGCCTTAGTCAAGTGCTTTAAGACGTAATGTTTTTGCGTCGCAGTGCAATCTTTCTTCTTCCGTGTATTGCAGGAGTTTTTCTTTTCATTATCATTGTTATTGGGTTTTTTGTTACACTAAATCATGTTAGATCATTGAATGCGTGTATGATCTCTGCATAATTTTGTACTGAGCTATATTACGAAGATTGAGTCGAAAAATCATGGGATATGAAAGAATCAAGAACCAAGACAGTTTCAGTTGACTTGGTTGAGCGTGATTCAAAGGTTGATATCAACTTTATTATAGGCTAACGTTTCGGCACTATTGAATCCGTTGAAATCGTATGAACCCACTCGCTCAAACGCCATCAAAACCAGGGTCAAGCTTGTGATGCGACTATCGCAACGGGTAGGTCGTAAAGAGGGTACCTAAAGTGGGGAAGGGGTCGTAAGAGGAGGTAGTTAGGCTAAAATACCCTAAGCTTAAAATGGAATCAAAAAGCGGATAATTAGTCATGTTCTTTTCAATAAATCTATAAAAAAGTGGAAATCAGAATAAAAAAGAAAAAATCTGTAGAAATTCTCAAAAAAATTTACAAGAGCTCAAAACACTTTTAAAGGATGTACGATTTGATAAAAATGCTAAATGTAGCGATTGCCCTAGAAACCTTGCTTCTGAAGCCTTCCTGAAGTTACACACACTCGACAAAAGCGAATATCTTTACCAGCTGTGACCATCATGAATTTCTAAATCTTTTTTTTACGGGCCCATATGATTTATCTGTACTTTGAAGATGCTCTGCTATATCAGTGCAGAATTTGGTATTAATTTGTCAGCTGTGGTTTCTTATGATTATGTATGGTAGCAAAAAATGAGAAAAGGGGGGTCGTATCTGCGCCTCATCTAAATTTCTCCGGAGCTATTGAAGCTTGTTAGCTGCAAACTTGTTGTAATACAAAGCCGTCACTCTTCTTTTTATCATAAGAATTTCAGGCTGTTTCATAACTTCTCCGATGAGATACAAAATTTCAAGCTCAAAAATCCCACTTTTTGCTTTCTAGGATCGCATCTAAGGCCCGTATGCACGTACATCCCGCGGAGAGGGGAGGGGATCTGAGAGGGGAAGCGTCATATCTCGCTAGTCTATGTATCTTTCTTCTTCTTCCTCTGTCTTGGTTTTGAAGGTTCTCATACACTGACACTTGCGCATAACGGATGCCAGCTTACTGCCATACAAGATTAGATATTCTCTATTTCGTCTGATCCCCTGGGGATCCCCAGGGGATCACCTCACATTTTCAAAGTTATTTATTTCTGAAAACTTGATGAAAATGTTCCAAAATTGTACTGCGGATATACTACAGTACTGCTAAACGTGTTTATGGTAGAAATGAGTGAAATCCCAAGATATCAGAATCTTCGATGAACCGCTGCTCGCGAGCCAGGGATTATCGAAAAAATCAAAATCTTCAGATTCCATTTCTTCTGTCGAAAACATGCTCAGCAGTATCGTAGTATATCCTCAGTGCAATTTTGCAGCGTTTTCATTGATTTTTCAGGACGATAAATGACTTTGAAAATGTGAGATGATCCCCTGGGGATCCCCAGGGGATCGGAAGAAATAGTGAATATTTAATCGTATGGCAGTAACCTGGCATCTATTATGCGCAGGTATAAGGGTATGAGAACCCTTATAAGCACGATAGAGAAGAAAGAAGAAAAATATCTAGAGCAGTGAGATATGGCGCTTCCCCTCTCAGATCCCCTCCCCTCCCCGCGGGGATGTACGTGCATACGGGCCTAAATTTGTGAGAGTCGCATCTAGATTTTTTTGAGCTTACTGCTCCCCAATGGCTGAAACTTTTTCCATGGATAGCATGGGCACTATACTACAAAGCTTGTTCATTGCAGCCTCTCAGTCTTCTTCTGCCTTCAGTTACGAATTTTCAAAATACCGTGCTCATGCACGTTTTTGACATCGTTCTGGATGGCGCTAAAACAGTTTTTTTCACGAAAATCTGTGCAAAAGGTAGGAAATAAGCCTTTTAGTCGAAAACATATTTTATGCTTCAAAGATATCGTTTTTTCTCCCTTCAAAAAAAAATGGTGTCGCGTACGGGGACCGAATTTGCTGGCCAGAAGTATGCTTGAAAATTCAAAAACCCATATCTTTACGAACGGTGACCGTCAATAATTTGTAAATCTTAAAGTAAGCTTAATTATCATTCAGATCGGAATCGATGTTCTGCTTTGTTAGATAATGTCCCTTCCATTCATGTTTCCTAAACCACAATAAGCATAGCCAAATCTTCGTGGAATTTTACTACTTACCCAATCTACGCAGAATTATTAGTGAGTTGGTTTTTGAATGGCGAAGCATTACTTGCATTATTTCGCAATTTATAGGTAGTTAACTATTTCTGATCTATAATATTGATTGAGGTCCATTGGCAGGCATCTTTTAAGATTGACCATTCATGCAGGTTACCGCAAAAGAAAGTGGGAGGGGTAGGTGGGAGGGGGGGGGGGGGGTAAGTGAGGAGGGGGGTCGTACGGATAGGTACCTTCAGGGGGGGGTCATAGAAGAGGGTCTGGGATCGCATAAACACGCTTGACCCTGATCAAAACTCAATGATAGAGACAAATGCCAATGCCAATAAGAAAGGCCAAATTTGGAAACGTAATAAACAACAGTCAGCCGAAAATCAAACGAGGTGCCCCTGGTTCCGAAAAGATCAGTGGTGCCATAACGGCCCTGGCTCATTGTCTGGGCTCGGCACGAGGTGGCTTTTGCAAAATGCAAAAAACGAAGTCCCTTGACTTTCGCGAATTTTTACGAAGTCTCTTTGACCCTAAACCCTAAACGTGAAAAGACTCAAGAAACAAACGTCGACTAAAAAAACTTCACATTTGTGTCTTTTCGGCCTCAAAAAAGGTACCCCTTTGCCTTTTGTCCCAAAGACGATATCCACCTTGCTTACAAGCCACCTGTGCCGAGCCCTGCTCCAGGGCTCGGCACAGGTGGCTTGCCGGGCAAGCTGGATATCGTTTTGGAGGTAAAAAGCAAAGGGGATACCGTTTTTGCTGAAGAGCATGCCGCTTCCTTCGATCTGCTGCCGGCACGCTGCCGGCATGCCGGCAGCATGGTCTTTTAAACCAACAAAGGGTTTGTGCAAAGCGAATTGAAAATGAAATGAAACCAAAACGGGTATGTAGATGGGCAATGGAGGAATAGTACTATGTGCAAAAAATTATGAAAAAGTTATATGAATTAAAGTCGCGGCAAACTTTTTTAGGAGTTAGGTAGCTTTACAGCCACCTGGACAGCCACCTGAGGTGGCTGTGAAAAGAAAGAGTCATAAATTTCCCTTCCTTCACATAATTTTTTCACAAGTTTAGCATATCTTTGTTCTACATCAAAAACCCTATAACTGAGTTTTTGAGTCTCCCCAAACCCCCTCCTCCTCGCCTAGTTACAGCCCTCTAAATATTTTGTATGGTGGCGGCAAGCCTGCTCCGAGCGCGCAACGGTGCTCGCCGGACACAGCATGCCGCCAATTCGGAGAATACGAAGTTTTTTAGACTCTTTTCGTTTGTTCATGCTGCTTTTGAGTTTTGTTTCATTATTTTTTGTTATTTGTGATTGGTCCATTCCTGATCGCGTCATAGGTGATGTCGTATTTGTGTAGCGAAATCGGCGGGGACTTCGTTTTTGCAAAATTGAAAAGCCACCTCATGCCGAGCCCTGCCCTGCTCATGGTCAGTAATTGCCCAAGTTACATTGCATAAAGTGTATCTCAAATCAAGAAAATCCCTCTACTATCGAAGGTACTTTTACGAAAGTGATATTGATCAACTCCATTACCCGGTAATTATTACTCTTTGAATACCCTTGATTCGTTCTGGTACAACGTCGATGTGAAGCAGGGCCCAGCACGAGGTACCATTCACGAATTTTGGAATTGAGTACCTCCTGAATTTTGCAAGATTACGTCGTTTGTCTTGAATGCAGACGTACGGCCAATAACCTGCAGAAAAGGATGAGTGGATGTGGATGAAGAAAAAGGAGAAAAATCAGAGATAAAACAACATTTGGCAAAAAGGGTTCTTTAGGGTCGTGGTCAGGCTGAGGGGAGAAACTCGGTCCAAAGTGAACACTGCTAGAAAGAGGATATGAGGATGTATATATATGAGGATCATATGTAAATTTCGAAAAATTGAGTGAGGAAGAGGAAAAATGCTGACTTTGTTTGGTCCCGCGCAACCTCAGAGTGGTCTTAGATTGCGCGGGAGCAATCTTAAACAGAAAAACACAATTCTTTCACTCACATAAGTTTTCATAACTTCTCGTATTTTTTTTTGATCGTCATCGCGAAGATACACCAAATTGGTGGCTCAATATTACTTACTCTTATTAAACACAATGATTGTTTATCATTTTGTGCATAAAGGGCCGGTCATACCGGTCAGCGATCCATCGCGTCGCTGACTTTCCCAAAGGACAAGTGTTACAAGGCCGGAGATAACTGCGTATCTGTGCTGGCTGTCCGGCGCGATGCATCGCGGGCCGTTTTCTACCTGGCCATACCGATTTGAGCGAAATCGCCGCGATCGTCGCTCATCCTAGCGAATTCGCGTCGCTCATTTCAAATGCGCGACGCGATGGATCGCTAGGATTGGGATCTCTCTCCAGGAAAGTTTTATGATTGTTCTTTACTTTCTTAAGCTGGTCTCGTGTCTGGGGATTGGAAACCATTTTAGTTTTGTCAAAGTGCATTGGTTTTCCGTGAAATGGAAGCCTTTTGATTTATCAGCAATTGTCACTTACGCTGAATG